GAGAGACAGGGGCATCTGTCTGAGCATCTGACTCTTGATTTCGGCTCAGGTCATGATCTCAGGGTCATGGGATCAAGCTCCGTGTCAGGATCTGTCATTAGTGGGGAGGCTGCTTGGGATTCTCTCTCTCTAAAATAAATAAATGAATTATAAAAAAAAAAGAGAGCAAGAGAGGGGGAGAGAGACAGCAAGAAGGGAGGCAGGAGACTCTTGCACTATTCTGAGGCCAAAGGGGGTTTGAGATAAAGCTAGAAGGTCAAGTCTACAGGACTTGGTGGCCAGTTGCATGCAGAAATACGGAGAAAAGGGGCCCAGGAGTCCCAAGTTTGCAGCTTGTACAGCAGGCACATGGGAACACCCAGAGCAGAGGAAATCACAAAAGAGGCAAGGAAGGGAAGAGGAGGCAGGTTTGGGGGGAAGGAGTGTGACACTCTGACCTCTGGGCACACTGAGCAAGAGGTTACTGAACTCCGTCTGTGGTACTTGGGGGCCGCCTGGGGAAGAGACAGAGCCCTTGGGAGCAGCTCAACGTTTAAGGGGTGGACGGAAGTCAGGGAGCCCATGAGGAAGCTGGTGAGGCTCGGCCAGAAAAACAAAGCGGGAAGCCACGGGGCAAGAGCTTTAAAACTCCCTTACGGGGCAGAGGGGTCAAGGAGCTTAAGGGCCAAACAGCGTCCACAGGCTTATTACTGGGAATCTCAGAGGATAAGATTTCAGTGAAGTAATAATGGCAGACATCAGCGGGCAGAGGAGTGAAGGAGAGAAAGAGCGAGGGTGGCTATTTCTTCCAGGAAGCAGAGCCCCAAGTGGCACAGAGTGACCTAGGGTCACGAGGGACCCGAGGTCAAGAGGTGGTCCTGTTGTAAGATGGCCAAGTCATTAGGGCTGAGGAGAGAGCACCGGCAGGAAAGCGCGGGAGGTGCAGGGAGCTGGGCAGGAGAAATGCGGAGGGGAGGAGGCCTGGGCCGGGGCCGGGGCTTCTCGCTGCATCTGAGATGATGGAAAGGGGAAATAGATGTGGCAAAGCTGCAAGCGGAAGGAGATGGAAGTCAGCAGCTTTTCCCTGTTCCGTGAAGTGGGAAGGGAGAGAGGTGGGAGTGGGGACAGGCTGGAGAAGGTGAGAGCTCGGATTAGCCACTCCGGGCAACTGGACACCCCCCAGCCTGGGCAAGAGAAGGAAAGGCACTGATCCAAATGAGAGCCGGCTGCTCTGCCCAACTGTGCCAGGACTGTGGACCCCAGGAAAAGAGGAAGGTAGGCCCCTGAGCAAAATCAGCGCCACCGAAAGTGGAGTGCAGAAGGTGGAGGCTTGGCGCGGGGCTGACACACAGACCAGTGTCCAGGCTCTGACTGGTCCCCCCTGGCTCAAGGCAGCAGAAGGCCTGTGAGGCTCTCTGGGTGCGGATCGGTTACCTGCCAAAGGCTTCCACCATCATACAACGGGGCTGTAGAGACTTGGTCCTGATGTCACTGGTTATGTTTTTTCTCTCCTTGAAGTACCGGCATGAGCCCTGGATGCCGTCCTTATTCTCTAAGATCATGTGAATGGGGTAGACATCCTCCAAAGCCACTGGATCCCTCCGGGACTCCAAAATTCCGGTTTCCAAGTCAATCTCTTCATACCTAAAAGGGAGAAAGCAACAAATACCAAACTACAACTCAGCTTTTCAAATAATACATACTTAGCACATTCTTCTTTTCTTTCTTTTTTTTTTTTTTAATTAAAGATTTTATTTATTTTTAGAGAGTGAGCGCTCCAGGAGGGAGAGAAAGAGGTAAAGAATCTCAGGCAGACTTCATGCTGGGAGCCCAACACAGGGCTGGATCTCACGACCCTGAGATCATGACCTGGGCTGAAACCAGAAACCAAGAGCCGGATGCTTAACTGACAGAGCCACCCAGGCGCCCCTGGCGCATTCTTCTGACAACCTCCCACTGAGATCAGAGAGGAGTGAGCTTACTCGGTCCTCCAGCCTTGCAAATGCAGATTAGAGCAGCATTCCTGCCTTTCTACTCCAGAGAACACAAACCTTTCCAGGGTCCCCAAAATCCACCCCAGAAGCTGAATGCTAGAACCAGAACCATCTTACTGGCCCAAGTCACGGCCTTTCAGTTTCCCTCCAAATCCAGTGCCTGCACGTTAACAATTTTCACCTCGGAATCCTCAGTCCTGTCTTTTCCTCCAAACACCTTGAATTCAAGGAGATCCAAATCAAAGTTATGACTGCCTCTCCCGGCCTCCAATGAAGTCCCTCCTTTCCACTTTCTCCCAGTTACGTCGTTATCAATGCCACAGGGACATCTTTGACTTGCGTTTCTTCCCTTATCGAGTTAGCCAAGTTTGTAAGGCTTTCCTTACAAACCCTGCTCACAGCTAGTCTAGTTGAGGCTAAAACCCACTTATATTTATCAGCTCTTTCCTTCCTCGCCTTCTCTGTGACCTCTGCCCTGCTTTACTCTCCATTCCCAAATCCCATCTTAGTCCATCTGCCAGGAGGCAGCTGTGGACTGCTGTCCTCCCTCTCCAGTCACACCTTCCTAGGCTTCTTTGACCTTCCTAGTTGACCATCCAGCCTTTCCACATAGGTGCACCTGAGGGCCATGTCTTAGGCCTCCCATCACACCACATTCTCTTCCAGGGATGATCCTGGCCCAAAGCTTTAATATCCAGCCATACGGATGACTCCCCATGTCCAGCCCCATCCCTCCCTCTGGCCTGCTTTCGCCCATGAAGCCACATGTTTACTAAACAGAATCTCCACTTGGATTACCCAAATGAACCTTGAACTCAATGTGTCTCAAAGTATATTCAGCACCTTGCCCACCTCCCCTGAGACCACCATGCTGCTCTTCTGTGTTCCCTACTAACAGCGAAGGACATCAATATTCACTCAGGAACCCAAATATCAGGAACCAGAAGCCATTATCCCTGATTCCCCCCTCTCCTTATACCCCACATCCAGTCACCAAATCCTCTTGATTCTTCTGCTTCATATGTCTTGATTCCATTTGCTTCTCTTATTTATTCTCACCTGCACCACAGTAAGCAAAACTGATGTGGAGAACAAAGGCAAGAAGGAAATTTCCTTATAACCTGCAGCCCATTGTCACTTAAGGCAGGCAGAGTATAGCTCCTCCAGAAAGCTCCCAACTGTCTTAAAGTTAATGCTTTTCTAGAGGGAAAAACCACCTTAGCTTACAAACAGCTAGGCCTCCAGGGTCCTGGTGAGTCTTCTTTAGCATAGGAGTCCTTTTGGAAACCTCCCTTTGTCTTTACTTCCCCCAACTTCGAAGTGTATAAATCAGTCCTTCCTCACAACCCCAGTGCAGCTCTTTCTGCCTGTCGGCCCTGTCCCCCGGGCTTTAACGAAAGCCTTCTAGCACCAAAGACTCCTGCAGAATTCTTTCTCCCCCATTGGCTCCGAACCCCAACCTACAAACCATATCAAAACCATGACTGGTTGTTTGTGATTGGATTACTAAAATCTCTCAACTTCACAGTTTGCCCTCAGTCTGACCCTCCTTTGGGTGCGGTGGGGGGAGGGGGGAACTTCCAACTGTTCTTTTGGTAAAGGATAAACTCTTGATGTGGGTTAAAAGACCACTGATTACCTCTTCAGTCTAATCTCGTTAAGGACAGAGAAGATTCTGTACCCCAAACTTAAAGGATTCAAATTCTGGGTTCTGCTCTTGCTAGTTGATAACCTTGAACAAGTCGCTTATCCTCTCTGTGCCCAAATTTCCTCTTCGGGAAAATGGGGGTCATAATACCCACCTCCTAAGGTTATTGTAAAAATTAACTTGCTATATGTCAGGATCTTAGCAAGTCCCAGCTCACAATACACATATGTAAGTGCCAACTATTATTCCCCATTCCCCATCTCCCAATCCTACACTTCAACCAAACTTAACTTACTTCTCTTCCTTGAGGCATTCACATTTGCTATTCTCTCTCCAGAATACTCTGCCAACTGGTCACCTAAATCCAATCTTTAAGTCTTGTTTTAGACAATATTACCTCTGGGAACTTCTCTCAATTCGGCATAACAGCACAGACTATAGGGACAGACTGCCTGGGTTCAAATCAACACTCGGTCACTTATAATCTCTGTAACGTTGGACAGGTTACTTAATCTACGACTCAAGCTTCTTCTTCTGCAAAATGGGGAAAATAACAGCACCTATTGCTGAGGATCAAGTGAGTTCAATCTCCTGAAACTGCCAGAACAGGAGCTTATAATACAGTACCAGGCCAAAAATAAGCACTCAATAAATGCTAGCCGCTGTTGTTATTATTACTACTGCTAAACTTGCTGTTCTGCAGATCTCTAGTTGCCTTAGGCTCTCTAGCCCAGCACTGAATGAATGCCCCACAAAGGGCGGCTAAATTCAACGGTCTCCAGTCTTGATCTAAACTGACTTCCTATCCACCACGAAAGAAGGGTACTCTGAAGCTTGAAGAATACCGCCCCCCCGCCAGTCCTGCTCACCACCACCCAAGCACCTACACGGACCGAATGGGACATCATTAGACGACCCCAAACTCCATCAGACGTCCGAGCTCTGCCAGGCCCGAGGGACCCCCAGCCACCCTTACACCGCGCCCCCCATCGGACTCGCGGTCCTCCCCCGGCGCCACTCCTTTCCCCCGCCCCCTCCCATCAGAACCTGGGCCCCTCCCAGCGCCATCGGACGCCGGGCTCTGCGCCCGCCCGCCCGCCCGCCTCAGGGCCAGGCCGCTGACCGGTCCTGGAGCTGGAGGTCGGGTCGCTCCCGAGGCTCTTCATAGAAGCTGATGCCCGGGTGAGTGGCAAGGGCCCGCCAGAGGAACTCCTGCGTGTAGGGCTCCAAAGGCAGCGGGAAGGGAGGCACTCGCGTCTCCAGACGGCTCCACAGCGCGGGCAGACACAGGCCATCAAGCCCCTCCAGGGCCACCTCGTCCAACAACGACTCCAGCGCGTCCATTGCTACTTCTGTTTGCAGCTCCCCGGGCGCCTGCGCACCAGGACACTAAGGGCCCTCCAGCGCGCCTGCGCACAACGATTGGCAGCCCTGGGAGGTGGGTTGGACCTAGAGATAGGAGGAGGAGTTCCAGAGCTCCGGCGTGACGTCACGACCTTTGGGGGCGGGATCAGCCCGCGGGACTCCACCGCCATTGGTCCGGAACCCCGCAGTAACCAGGGGAACTGCAAACACTGTAGGGGCCGCTTCCGGTTCGAGCACCCGGAACCGCCGCCTCTAGGGATGGACGGTGAGTGTCCGTGGGCCCCTCCGGGCGGTCGGGCAGTTATTCTCCCATCTCTCCCTCGGCTCCCTCGGACAGAATCCTAGGCAAGAGAGCCCTGGGCCGCCACTGACTGACCCAGGGTGGTCTCTGGTCGGAGGGAAAGGGAGACCTAGTCGTCCGGGATGGGAAGAAGAGGCTGGGGGGGAGTGGTCAGTGGTTTGGCCACTGTGCAGAGCTGTGTTGGTGTAGGAACCCGGTACAGGCCGGGGGCTCAGAAGAGGTTCGGAGTGGAAAGGAGAGGTAGAAGTCTGAAGGGGGATCTTGTGTGTCTTCCTCGGGTGCGGAACTGTGAAATCTGGGAGTTGGTATGGGGGTATGCGTCATCCTGGGGAGTGCGGTCGTCAGCTACTGGGCAAACGGAGTTGGTAAAGTGGGTGGACCAAGTCGAGGGCATACTCTTTTTCCTGAGCTTTGATGTTAATAGTACTGTTCAGTGCCAGGAACTCTGTAAGACTGTCAGGTAACACCTCGTTAAGCTTCATAACAGCCCTTTGAGGTCAGTGGTGTTACCCTGTTTTGCAAATGAAGAAACTGAGGCTCAAAGAAGTTAAGTTAACTTGCCCCAAATCAAACAGCCAGCAAGTGGCAGAGTAAGAAACCCAGACACTCTGTCTCTGGAGCTGAATTATAGAGCTTTGAGATTTGGAACGGATTTCAGAGGCCCTTCATTCCAGACGTTGCAAATGGCGGTATCTGCAGAGGCAAATCTGGTGGGCTGGATTGGGCTGTGACTGAAAATCAATTCCCTTTTTGAAAGGAAAGCTTCTCGCTCAGTTCCAACCAATTATTTTCCTGGGGCACTTCTCTAAATACCATGACAGCCAATCAGTCTGAGGGCCAGATGGCCAGATGCCGCCTATGGGCCACTATTTTGGGGTCCCTGATTAGAATCATGGAATTGACCATTCAAAACAATCTAAAAATAGGCTACTCTAATCTCATTTTGAAGGTAGGAAGACTAATGTCTAGACAGACTGTTAGGATCTGTGCTAGAATCCAGATCATTGTTCTCATTTCACCACCATCCCTTACTTCTGGGAATGTGTTCCTTGTACCCACTTAATGCAGTGTGGGGAAAAATTTTTTTTAATTGAACAGTCTGATAAGTACTTAAAAGACGTCTTTGCCCTTTGTACTTCAGAGGTACTATAAAATGTCATTTGCAGTTTGCCTTGTGGAAAGATCAATGTAACATTGCTACAGAACAACAGTTCTCAAATATTTTTGATCTCAGGACACCTTTATGCTCTTACCTCAAAAGAGCTTTATGTATCGTAGATCTATGATATTTACCGTATCAGGAATTAAAGCTTAGAAAATCTTAAAACATTCATTTATCAGTTACTTAAAAATAACAGTAAATTTGGGGCGCCTGGGTGGCTTACTTGGTTAAGCATCCAGATCTTGGTTTCGTCTCAGGTCATGATCTCATGGGTTGTGAGATTGAGCCCCACGTTGGGCTCCACACTCAGCAGGGAGTCTGCTTAAGATTTTCTCCCTCTGTCCCTTCCCATGCTCACATGTGCTCTCTCTCTCTCAATAAAATAAATCTTAAAAAAAAAAACAGTAAACCCGTTACTTTTGAATATAATTAATAATTTTAATGAAAAATAGCTATGCCCCATCCAAAAAAACTAGTAGGAAGAGTAGCGTTATTTTACTTGGTCTTAAATCTCTTCAATGTCTGGCTTGATAGGAAATAGTTAGACTCTCATTTCTGCTTCAGCAACCAAATTGTTGTGTCTTTTGGCTAATGTATATGCAGAAAGTCTGGCCTCACAGATTTTAATGGTAGACATTCTTTTTCGATACTACACCAAAACTTAGCAAGTGGTAGTTTCTTGAAGGGTATGTACTGTGTGTGCCATCTGAAACCAGATTGGTGAACTTTTGTACTCTGTTACATTAAAATCCACTGGTTTATCTTGCCCTTTTTTCAGATATTTTACCCATGTATGATTTTAGTACATTAGGCATTGGTCATGTGGAAAATGTTGGCTTACTGAGTTATGCAGATCTTCCACATGTTGACATTTCAAATTCCGTTATGTAATATCAAGTGGAATGTCATTATGCAATATCAAGAAAATCCCATTTGTTAATATCACCACCTATCTCATTTTTTTAGAAAAAGTTTAAGCTGCTAAACTCAAAGTAGTAGAAACAAGTTTTCATTTGGGCAACAAACACTATCGGTTGTTTCCTTGAAAGGACTGACTCACTTTTTTTTACATATTTGAGAAAATGTCTGTGAAACACCCAAGTCTGAATAACTATAGTTTGTTAGTTATGCATTCAAGTAAAAATGGCATTCTGTACGTATGTGGCTAGTTCAGCTGGTAACTCAAACAAGCACACGAGTGTTTTCTTTGGCTTGTAGCAGAAGTGCTTGATGTGCACTTCCCATTTTGTCACACAGAATATTAAAAAGATGTGTACTCCTGAGATGAAATTGAATAAAATTAATTTTTAAAATTTCATAAGGATATTCTTAGGTGAAAGTGATTTTGTTGTTTTGTTTTATCGTGAATACATGGCAATAAAGAATATAATGATTACTAGGACAGTTTGGTGCTGCTGCCTTGTAGCAACTCAGGCCACAAGAAGTTTTACCTGCTGTTGCTTTCCCATCATCAGTGCAAATATCAACACAGTGAAGATGTCTTAGAACTGTGATGAAAATAGTTTTGTCCTTGTGAACCCCTCTTCCTCCCAGGGTGTGGGGAAAACATTTGAGAAACATCGCTATAGACCATTTTCTTTCTTTCTTTTTTTTTTTGGAAGATTTTATTTATTTATTTGAGAGAGAGAGAGTGAGCAAGAGAGAGAGCACACACACAAGCAGGGGCAGAGGGAGAGAGAGAAGCAGACTTCCCACTGAGCAGGGAGCCTGATGTGGGGCTCCATCCCAGGACCCTGGGATCAGGACCTGAGCCGAAGGCAGATGCCCAACCGACTGAGCCACCCAGGTGCCCCTAGACCATTTTCAAGAAGTCAGCTCTGTCATCATCTCGCTCACCCCTGGAGCATTATCATGGCCCAATCAAGGCACCTGTTAATTTTCAGATTGGTTACAAAAAGGAAAAACTTGTTCTCTTTAAGAAAGCATTTGCCCTGTGGCGCCTGGGTGGCTCAGATGGTTAGGCATCTGCCTTCGGCTCAGGTCATGATCCCAGGGTCCTGGATTGAGCCCCGCTTCAGGCTCCTGGCTCGGCAGGGAGTCTGCTTCTCTCTCTCTCCCTCTGCCTCTCCCCCTGCTCATGCTGTCTCTCCCTGTATCTCGTGTCTCAAATGAATAAATAAAATCTTAAAAAAGAAAGAAAGAAAGCATTTGCCGTAAGATTAGATTTAGCATTCAAAGGATCCCTTTTCCATTACAGTTTTTAAAACTGAAAACTAAAAATTTACACAACAGTTTTATAGGCATATACCTGTTGGGTAAAGTGAAGCATACCATGATAAATTGTAAGTCTAGCCAACTAGATAAGCCAAGCCTGGCCTTATTGAAAAAATATTTACTTCCCAAACTTACAAAGCCTAAGTATCTACCAAGTATCCCCAAATTGGACTGTAATTTGGTTGATTCTGCATGTCCAAATCACCATGGTTTTTCACAACATTTTTCCTGGCCCATTGGTTTTGATTTGGAGCATGTTTTATCTGGCTCTGCAATGCGGCATGATGTAATGTTGATATATTTGGGAGGCTATATACTGGTGGATTCACATCTCAACTGTGTCCTCTGACCTCTCTGAGCCTCAGTTTTCCTGTCAATAAAATCGAGCTGATGATAAGGCTTACTTTGTTTTGTCTGGTAATCCACTGGTGAATTCAACGAGACTATGCATGAACGCACTTAACACCAAGTCTGGCATATAAAAAGTGCTTCGACGTGGTAGCTAATGCTGTTATTATCTGCAAATGGGCAGACTTCAGCTGGCAGAAGGAGGAGGAGGGAATCTGATGAAGCTCTCTAGCAAATAATAATCTCTGTAATTAGCTCACTGTTTGTTTATAAGAAAAGCCAACGTGACATTTTTTATTTACCTGAATGTGAACTAGCAACTTGTGAGTCTTCTGCTATGAAGTGTTCACCTTTATGTTAAAGTCACATTTCCTCCAGTGCTTTTAAAATATGAGATGGTTCAAGAAAAAAAAATATTTCTACTCAGTTTTCAAGGAACATAATAATTAGACAAAAGTTCAACACATCAATGTAATTAGAAAGGATTTTAAAGCTGTTCGTTTGCTTTTGCTCTCCCCAGAGCAAATATTCAACATTTCCCCCGCTTATCCTGTTCATTTGCTTAGTACACTTCCTCAAAGAATTAATAATGCCAAGATGAAATTTAGCCTAGCTTGTCTAAATAATCCCAAACTGCAAAATAGGTGACAGTTGAATTAGTAAGGTTTTGTTGAAAGTACGCTGTCGGCATGTCTGGTCTCTTCTATTCTGGTACAGTGTTCACCTGGGCTCCCAGTGATTTGTCGATTTCTCCTACTACTTAAAATAAACTAAACCCAAGATGATGTAAAATAAAATAAAGCAAGCATTCAGCCGGCAAAATAAATGTGTGGTCCATGGAGTCTCTATGTCTGTTCTGTCTTCCTTCCTTCTTCACGCCCATCCTTGAATCTGTTTCATTTCTTTTCCTCTTGTATTTCTCAGTATTCATCCCAACCTGTGATTTTTAGCTTACAGAAAGTTGACACACATGTGTTGCTTATTCTTCCTTGGGACATTCATTTAGTAACTCCACATTTCAGTGCCTTCCGTGTGCTAGAACCCAGAGATATCAAGATGAGTAAGACTGGATCCAGGTGAAGGGTAGATGGGAGTTTATTGTATTCTTCTTTCCCCCCCCCCCTTTTAAAGTAGGCTCCATGCCCAGCATGGAGCCCAACATGGGGCTTGAACTGACGACCCTGAGATCAAGACCTGAGCTGAGATCAAGAGTCGGATG